CTTAATATTGAATAACGTGTGATGTATATGAAAATGGTAGCTATTGAACTATGACAATGGCATGTATCATATCAATGGAGTATCAGATCAATTCCTTTATTGAAATAACGTGTGATGTATATGAAATCTACAGGGGACTATTGCATGGTATAATGTAAAAGCTCAAGTGGTCAAGCATTAGAATTTCGTAGCCACTTTCGGGAAAATGGTGAAAAAGGTTAGGTCAATATCTAGTCCATTCCTCGACATACAAGATTGAGTAATGGCCTTGTTGTATATGAACTAAATCATTATTAATGATCATTTAAGTCACCACTAATCCTGGACATGAAACGCATCTATTTGACAGGTTGAAAAGCACCGGACACAAGTCACACAAGATATTCTTTCATCTCAACAAAACAAACTAGTACTAATATATTATAATTTCATGAACTGTGAAGCACAATGATACTCCCATAATTAAAAATTTAAAAAACAACAATAAAATAATAACAATCCTAATAATCTAGAAGTTTCATGTATCTGGGACCAGAATATGTTTAGGATCAATTACAAAACTGAAAATATTGTAGTAGAATTCTGATTTGTGCACCTGCAACAGGTCATCTGAGTCATTCGTGTTGAGCACGAGAAATGTGAGCCTCTTCCACATGACTAGTGAGCAGAGAAATACCATAATGTGAAGCACTCGAGGCAGCATAATATGATGTTCCAGTGAGTTGAGCATACTTTGGAAGTGCATGACCTATAAATTAACATATTACTTGCCAAGTGAATATATTAATGAAAAGGTCCATTTAGTGGGTAAAAAGTACAAAAGTAAATAAGAAAATATCAAAGGACATTCAGAAACTGAAAAATTACACTCTATAGCTTCCCTACAAGAAATAGTACATCATAAAATCCAGTGCCCATTGTTGTAAGTTGTTCAGCAGAGCCTTAAACATCCAGAATTTAAGCCTGTCGGATTTGCCTTCAGATTTGTCTTATGTCGATGTAGCAACGTACCTATCTGGCTAACTTCTTACAGACATTAATTTCTGGTCATTTACCAATCATTTATGTAGCAATAAACCCATCTTTTTATGATAATATGAACACTTTTCCCTGGGACTCTCAAAACTTGAACACTAGTGTTTAGGCGTTTATGATGCAGTATGAGGTGAAAATGGATGTTCATAACTTCAAGAATTCAGTATAAAACAATCATTAACAAAAAGTGAGCAAGTCATACTTCTCTATAGTGATTGATTGGGCATGTTATAATTTATCTTATTGATGTCAAATTAAAAACAAAGAGTTCATAGCTCAAGCATCTAAAAAGGAACCATTCATACCTCCAAATGCAGCACTGGCAGCTGAAAAATTAGAAGTGACGGAAGCTGTCAAGAAAGAAAAATGCAATGGAAACGAGTGAAACAAATTGTGAGTTTGACTTCACATTTTATGCCAACTAAGAATGGAATTTGAGCACATCCTGAGTTTCAGAAGAAGAAGTAAAAATAAATAAATCAAAAGAACTAAGAAAATATAAGAGCTCTACCCCAATAAAAAAAGGAAGCCACTTTGGTCCCTTCACATGTTTCTGAACATAAAGGATTCCTGAAATCAACAAATTTTGAGTGATATGCATTCATCAGTACATAAAATTTAAGACCAAAGGAATTTAATTATACCTGTATTCAAACAATGAATGGCACTAGGAATTCCACCAATATAATATCAAGTGCAATGTACACTATTATAATATGTAATATAACACATTAGAACTCACCGATCAAATGTACCATGTATCAAAGATAGGTTCCACCTTTGGGGAATAAAAATTCTTTATCCAAGACATAACCTCATATAGAAGACTCGGTCTCAAATGCCCAATCGTCCATCACGGGTCACCAAAAACCACGAATACCAATTGCGCTGAACTGTCATTTCAGTAATCTAAATTGAGCCATCAAGTAACTTTTATTTGATTGTTTAACATTTCTGATTTTCAAGAAGGGAGAAAAAAAAAATCAAACTCAACTCAATAGAACATTTTCCCAATTATTTAGAATCGGGCTACATAAATTCTATTTTGCGATTCTATCTAAAGCCATAATATCAATCAAATCCAATACTATTGGGGTTTAAGCCCACAACTACATAACCACTCTTTTTCAGAATGTCACACGAGTCCTTCTAAAAACAGGCATATCGTCGAATGAGCAATATACAAAGCTACTGTCATATATAAATGCCGCGTAACACGTGTGCGTGTGCGTGTTCGTGTGAGAGAAGAGATAAGTATACCGAATTAGGGTTAAGAATCTTCGGAAAAAAAGAAAAGAAAGAATTATAGGTTTTAAGAGAGAGATAAGAAAGACGCGTGCGTGTGAGAGAGAATACCGAATTAGGGTTGAGGCCCCGTTTGGAAAGTGTAGTGTGATGTAGTGTACTGCTCTAACCTAGAACAGAACAAGTTTTTTGTAGTATGATGTTCTAAAATGAGAACAAAACATGTTTGGTGTTCTAAGTTTGCTCTACCGAATCATGGAACAAAAACATGGTAGAACATGTTTGGTAATGTATATTATTCTAAGAACAGTGAGAACAAAATATGTTTGGTGTTCCAAAGTGTAACTAAAATTAATTTGATAAATAAAATAATTAAATATGTTGGATTAAAAATGTTTTTAAATAATATTTTCTTCAATACATTTTTGCTAACTTTATTAAGTATAAAGTTAGAAAAAATGATTGTATTATTTTAACATATTGTTCCTCCATTTATCTTAATTTATTATAAAAACCATTAAAATAAATTAAAATTTCCAAATATGGAACTGAAATAAAGTTTCAATATATCATAGTTTCACGAATTTTAATATATTACATACATGAGTATCAAAAATATTACAACATTCGTCAACAATGCCAATAAAAGTTCATGAAATAAAATTAAACTTTCAATATTATATCATTTCTCAACAGCCACAATAATAAACAACAACAACATAAGCAAAAACAACAAAAATATAGTTATAGTAAGACAACAACAACAATGTAGTTTTGCCGATTTTGTTGAGCTTGCAAAACAGCACCTACATCCTCCAACTCTTCCTGCACATGACCACCCACTTGCAGACGTTGGTGTATGTCATCCAACCATATAATTTTTCAAACATTGTCAGCATTGTCAACAAACATTGTCAGCTTTGATATCCATCTAATTACATAGTTTTGTCCACTAATTAAGAATGGTAACTTTTTTCAAGTATCAACTAAACAATTCGACTAAAAATAGACCAATAAATATATTCATATGATTTCACGTGTCATTTTTTCGATGCGTGTTAGTCACCTTTCATTCACATTGATTTGTTGGTAATATTTTACGTTTTAGAGCCAAACAGCACTTAAATCTTGGAAGTTACATTATGATAGATAAGGATCGAAAGAGTCCATTAGCAAAAGGAAATTCTTGAAATTTTGAAATGATATCATATGATAGTTGGAAAGAGAATATCTCCTTATGTAGATATACTGAAATTTCAATTCAAACCAACAATATAGATAAACAAACAGTGCTATGGCCAACATCCATATATATATATATCAACTCTTCCTGCACACAGGATCATTGACCACAAAGATGCATCAATTTAACAAAAAAATGCACACAGTGGCTATGCCTATATATAATTAATTATATATCTATATCTATATATATGTATATATATATATCTATGTATGTATATATATATCTATGTATATACAATGCACACAGGATCTAACAGTGTCACCGGGTTGCAATCAAAACCCTTTCCTTCAGTCCACTGTGAATTTTTTGAACATTCCACCACAAAATCCCCATTACTGAACATTTTAATTGACAGACAAATTACAAAATCAAAGCAAGTTAGAAGCTTGATATAAGAAGCTTGGCAGTTTGATGGTCCGGCGAAGCCACAGTGCACCATAAATAGAGATACAAGAGAGCATTCCTCAACAAATCAGGTAACAAGGTCTTCATAATTAATTTTTTTTTTCAAGCAAACAAAAAATTAACTCATTTGGTGTCGACGATGAAGGTAAATAGACCGAGAATCGCCTGTGAATCCGAGAGTGCAGAGAGCAGCGGCGAAGCTTGGTTCGCCGGAAAACGCAGAGGTCACAAAGGGGAAGTTTATCTTCAGATCTGCATACACAGTGGAACACCGACAAGCCCGATCTTGATTATACATGTGACTAAATTTAGACAGAACTTGCAGACTCGTTTCAATGAAGAAGATGCATGTTTGGAACTCACCGGTAAGAAGAAGACGTTGTCGAGAAGCTTCGTATTTACATCAATGGTGTCGATTTCAACCCAAGATCTCGGAAAGCTTCAGTACCTCCCAAGGGTACATTGTGAATCGCCTCAGTCGTAGAGAGAACCCTAGAACAAGATGGACCGAACAAGTATATTGTGTTCTCAGTGTTCCAACCGGTTGGGCTATTGTTCTCCATTCTACAGTGAAAAGTGGGCCTTGCACAATATGGGAACACTTTGGAACATGATTTTTTTGTTCCGGAAGTTGGCCCAAAAACTGAATTTATTCTACAACTGTTGGACACAATACAACCCATACCAAACAACCAAGTTTGCTCAATAGTGCCCATTTGTACTGTAGGGAAGGGCATAGAACAAGATGGAACATGCCCCAAACAGGGCCTAAGAATCTTCCGAACAGTTAAAAAAAAAAAAAAAACAAAGAATTAGGGTCTAAGAGAGAGATAAGAAAGGGTAACCAAAAGCGTTGCTTTAGATGTACAGCCAAACATGAAACATCTAAAGAAAAGGTTGTCATGGGCCTTAAGTCGGCTTAGCTAAAAAATCTAAAATCTCGGATAGGCCCAATCCATGGTGAAAATGAATCAGCCCATATCACTGAATGAGTATACGGTCCACGAGCTTCAGGCCCAACAACACATTTCTCATTCAGCAGCTATAAAGATACAGAACTAGGGTTTTAATATCCTCGGCAGAGTGCAGTTTAGAGAGAGTGTGAGGGAGTGGGAGAGGTGTAGGGAGAGAAAGAAAAAGAAGATGCCGGCTGGACATGGTTTGCGATCGAGGACGAGAGATTCGTTCTCTCGGGGGTTCCGCAAGAAGGGGACCATACATCTGACGACCTACCTGAGGACGTATCACACCGGTGACTACGTCGACATCAAGGTAAACGGCGCCGTTCACAAGGGTATGCCACACAAGTTCTACCATGGCCGTACTGGACAGGTCTGGAATGTCACGAAGCGCGCCATCGGTGTCGAAGTTAACAAGCAGGTCTCGATATCTCTTAAATCTTTTTTTTCCTTATAGACACGCATATGTGTGTGCGTCTTGATCTTCTGTGTTCCGGTGGTATTTATTAGTGTTATTGTTGATATAACTATATAACTTAGCAATTGATCTGATGTTCTTTGTATACAAATGACTAGATAAAAAGTGTGTTGTTTTACAGTATTTGGTATTTGTGAAATAGGGTATTTAAGGTAGGAGAAAGAAATCAATATAATTGTCCTTAATGGCATCAAGCCGATGTCATTCATTTTGGGACATGATTTATTATTATTATTATTTTTTTTTTATTATTATTATTATTTTATTTTTTATGCTTGGCTGTGTTTTCTGGGTTTGCAACTTTCGACTTGTAGAGTAGGAGTTTCATTTGTAGTTCTAACGTTATCTAGGTTTTTTTTTTTTTCATCAATCTGTAATACATTCTGATTAACTATTCAGACTCATAGTGGGTTCTGCTCCATTTGGTAACTATTAGTGGGTTTTCTTTTCATCAATCTGTATTACTCGAATGTTACCTCGTTATTGGATTTTGTGAATATAATTTTATAAATTCTTTTTGCAAATATCATGTTCTCCCTAATTGCTCATCAATATTCAGCCCATTATCTCTGAGTGAAATTTACTTCTCCTATCGATAAACATTTCCTATATCCAAAATTGTTTTGTCATTTGAAAGGGAATTAAGAAAACAAGAATGAGGAATATGGTTGTTCATAACCAATCCTTGCAAATCTTGTTTGGGTTTGGAGTTCATTTGTACTACAACCATATGGACAAAGTTCAAGACTTTATCTTTCTTGGTGAAGGAATATGGTTTGTTCATCTTTTTAAAGTGGTATCAATTTCAACTTCTCTTATTCTGAGATTAAAGTAGGATAACAAAATAAATTCTACATTGCCTTTTGCTTCTTACGAGATTTGAGAGAGATCGCCTTTTGTATCTAACTCACCTGTTGGTTGCACTAGTAATAATTTTATTATTATATTTTGCTTTGTTATATGGTATTTCTTTCTTTTAAATGTGTGAATATAATTGCTTGGATCTGTGTATTTTTGTTGGAAGTTGGTTGTACAGATGGCATTTGATGCAAGAAAGAATTACAGGATAAGTGGGATGTGTTTTCATGTGTGTTTATATTTTCAACATTGGGGATATATTTGAATGGCTGTAACTTACGCCTTGGATTGGTGGTGGAATATATTTTCAAAATTGGTCAATTTGATCTTTGCTCAAGTTTGTTTATTACATTCTGTAGTTTATGATTATAAACACTCTGGATTGCTAGTTGATTAAATTGATTGTGACACTCTCTTTGTGCCTTTGCTTTTTCTTTTATTTTTTATTCTCTCTTTGAGTGGTAATGGAAGTATTAAACTGAGATGTGGTAAATACGAATGACTACAGGTTGGTAACAGGATAATCAAGAAGAGAATCCATGTGCGTGTGGAGCATGTTCAGCCCTCTAGGTGCACAGAGGAATTCAAACTGAGGAAGAAGAAGAATGATCAACTGAAGGTGGAGGCAAAGGCAAGAGGTGAGGTTGTTAGCACGAAGAGGCAGCCGGAGGGCCCTAAACCTGGCTTCATGGTTGAATGCGCAACTTTGGAAACTGTAACTCCAATCCCCTATGATGTTGTCAATGACCTTAAGGGTGGTTACTAGGTTAAGCTTGTTCTGGATTTATTTCTTTTTCTTATGGCCTTCTGTTGTGAAAGACTGGATTCAGTCAAGCAGAGGGGTTCTTTATATTGTTAGCTAAGAATCTGGTTTATGCGGATTTTATTTCAAATGAGAGATATTTTTCTTGAAGTGACTCTGAATGTATGTTTTTCAGTCCAATACAGTCTTGGGTTGGAAGAAATTATTACATGCTTCTGACGAATCCCATAAGCAAAAATTTACATATTTATATAATATTTGCTTAGGTATCAACTAGTGATTGGCCGGGGGTGGGTGAAAATGATGAAAGGTTTCCTTCATTTTTTCATCGATTAAAATTTGGATTTAGTGTTCCACTTTGGTTTGTCTTAATTCTTGGAGGTTTAAAGATGAGTAACCTCTTCCTCATCCCTTTTTTCATCCTCTTCTCATCCAAGCAAGCAATATATCAAGGAAATGCGAGAAACCACCCAACCCCATTTCTGAATGAGGAGAATGTTGGTTCCAACATTACTAAAAATGTTTTGAATCAAATTGCGATTGCCGCACCAACCTGCAAAATAATAGTAATAGTTTTATTTTTTCCTTTCAAATGTAAGTTTGTAAACCTTTTTTTCAAAAGTTAATTTGAGTTCACCTTGTAACACAACTTTTCACTCTCTCATTTGCAGGCATTCCTTTTTTCCTTGATAGTTGACATCTTATAGAAACATCTTTTCCGTAAAAAATATTAAGTAATATAATGCATATATGATTCCACCCTGCATTTATCAAAACACAGCCTCTTGAGTTTCAAATTACTTATAGCATGGACAGTTGGGGCAGCATTGGAACACGGACTCTTAATTTACCAAATCTTTTTAGCATTTCTCCATCCTCAAATTTCTCTCACCATACTCTCACCATAAATAAAATAAAATAAAAAATGAGTTACTTTAGAAAACGAACAAGCCACGGTGAGTTTTTACAGAATTCACTGCAGTTACCAAGGGCATGCACACACTGATCCATGACAATATGGGCGTTCGAATGGGCTTGAAAAAACATGCTGAATCCATCAAATACAGTACTCAAATATAAAGGCACAAAAATGAGCACTTCACAGGAAGTCAATTAAATATAAGTCCCAAATATTTTATCATACACAGCCTTAGCTTTCACATACATCCCTTGGATGGAGAAAAAGATAATGAATTAAAAATAAATAAATACATAAACAGAAACCTCTTCCAGCAATCCTGTTAGTTGGACATTACGTTCTGTTCTATCCAAATCCCCAATTTCTGTTTTACTTTTCTGATCCCAGTGGGGGAAGAAAGAAAAAGAACATTATCATCAATTCATAAAAATAGAAAGCTTTCCAGGCTACTAATCACATGTTGTTCAGGAAATATTTAATTTTGAAAGTACAGATTAAATTGCACTGGCACATATTAGTGAACTATATTTCTATTTAAAAGAAAAAAAAGAAAATTGAATTAAACATATCATGATTTTTCTATGAGACAAAGGTAGCATAATACAAAGCAGATCATATCAAAGATCGCACTTGGGAAATACCCACGAAAAAAACATAGGGAGCATGATTTACCATATTCTTACAATAACTTATCTTTTTCTTTTGGCTCTCTACTTCTATCTCAAGGATTCACCTTCATAACTGACCTGTAGATAAATTGATGTCGATAATAATTAACCAATAATAATTACAGTTATTCAAACACAATAATAACATGACAGACAAAGTCACATACTCTCTTGCTCTTGAAAGCCAATGAGTGTAACTACGTAGAACTGAATCAGATTATAGAACCAACAATGCATAATTATTATTATTTTTTTCTCCGTGGCAAGAAACTCGCACACCCTATGGGGACTTGAACCCTCACCTCTCATTTTGGGAGGTTGAGGAGATATCACTAAGCTACAATTACATGGTAATGACCTGGTGTGTTTTGCTTTAATTGATATTTGGAATTATATGCACAAAAGTGACTGCTCTCAAATTCAAACCTGTGTTTTCACAACTGACGTGCATAACTTTTACCCAGTACACCTAGCAATGCCCCCTAATTCAGATTGGTGGTTTCTATTTGCACAAAATGACAGCCTCATAGTCTCACATTTTCATTCTAATGAAATAATAGGTGCATACCCAGAAAAATAAATAATAATAGGTACACAGTTACCAATAAGAGTTGTAACCCAGTGGGTAGCAAAAGTGGGTGTGCTATTTGTCAAACCAAAAAAATATAAATAAATAAATAGAATGAGCATCACATAAAGCATTATGTAATTTGTACCCCCTAAGTGCACAAATACATACTCTCTTCCTATTAATTAAAGTAAATACACCAACAAGCAATGTGATATCAGGAGGTGTGAAGGAGAAACCGACTATAAACCTGACCCTTGGTATAATTGGTACAAAGGGGTAACATCAAAAATATCTGAGATTCATTAACTTTTGCTTATTCAAGATATAAATCAAAATTCAGATGTTGATGTGGAAGACAAGCTTTTAACAACTAATGTTTCATAAACATTTGAGCAAGTAATTTTATAAAACTATACATTTTATGTCTTAAATGTAGACCATTACGACTTTGTTACCCAAAAAAAACAAAAAAACAAAAAACAAAACAAAACCAAATATATAAAAAAACGTAAATTAAAATAAACATTATTCGACCAAGATAAATGGAAGGTGAAAAAAAAAAAATTAATAACAGAAAAGAAAATTTGGCCTACCCAGCAGCATCAACGTCTAGTTCTAGGCTTGCAGCGAAATTCAGCTAAAAGTGCTATATGATCAGAAGACCACTCCGGAGAAGGAAGTGCTGTGTCTTTCCTCAAGCTATCCTCATCCAAGAGCTCCAACAAAGATTCCACAGTTAAAGAGTCCGCTGAGATTCCATATCAATCACTTTAAATGTCAGGTATCTATGTAATCTATATCTAATATCTCCCTGTAACTTCTAATTACATTAAAAATTGGGCAGAAAATGCAAGTATGAAGATATAAAGAAAGGAATGGAACAAAATGAAACACTTAAAACACACTAGAAAATCAAACAAAATGAAATATGTTCGAAGTATACCTGAATAAAATATGTAATCAACTGTACCAATAAAGTCCCTGGTGCAATTCGTAAATAATGGTTCATTTGTAGCAGGATCCATTCTCCTTCTCTGTTGCTCTAGACCAAGACCAACCCCTATTCTTGCAAAGGATGAGTACGCGCTTACCTGACAGAGAGCACAAACATTAAAAGAGAAAACATGTGTGCAAACACATCCCTTCGCCATAAAACAAAAACAACAATAATTATAATAACAAATATATCCATATAACAAGCCCTGAAAGCAATCCAATCTGAAAGATATGTTACCAGCGGCAACTGATGTGTTATTTTGCTAGCAGGGCGCAAGATTCCAATAGGGTCTACTGCTAAATCTGGATGCATGGGATCAACTTTCCCCATCGCAAGAAGTGCATGAGGACAACTGCGTTAAAGATTAACAGCCCCTTTAGATAAGAAATATATCACAAGTAATTTGAGATGACTTGCAAAATTCTACATTAATAAATAAAACCAATGGTACATGGACTCTTCCAAAGTACGTGAAGTACCCGTCAGACACACAACAATCGGACAAGTGCATGGGGTATGTGTTTGACACATTTGGTTGGACATGCACCTAAAAAGCATATCCAAAAAATTAATTTTATTAAATTATTCCTTCAAAACAAGTTAAATGTCTACTTTAAGAAATAATAGGTGTCTGCTTGTTGCACACAACAAAAGGACACATACCCACACCCGACACACGTACCCAAGTCCAAGTAGCATAGAATAAAACCATCCTAGGATCATAACTTTTATCATTGTCATAACAACATACAAACCTTCCAGGAATAGCATTAAAATCCCCACAAACCAACATGGGAATGTCTGCACTGGCAGCTATCTTTTCCAATCCTTTTAAGAGAGTGTGAACCTTTTAAGAGAGACAAGCAAGATGGAATATATTGTTAAGTAATGATGCAAATTAAGAGCAAATTTTCAAAGAAAAAATATGGGCCTTGGATAACAACCTGCCAGAGCTTAACATCCTTTAAATCTTGGTGAACATTTACATGTGTGTTTGCCTGTACTCCAAAAATCAACAGAAAAATTGTCATAATATGCTCCAAAAGACCTACTATGAGGCAAAGGCTGAAAAAAATTAAAAATATTTAAAAAAGAATCTCAATATATCATTAGTTGAGACAACATTTAACAGCAAAAATCATTATCTCAATATATCATCCGGAATGTAACAGACAACATTTAACACATAACCGCAACATGTAGGCACCCAATATAAGCATATTGCCTGATATATCACATCCTTGCATGGGAAAAAAAGCCTCTATTCTCAAACTAAATCATTATCTTGAGATATCATCCAAAATTAACTGACAATATTTACCACGTAACCACAATATGTTGGTACCAAATATCAGCATGTTCCTTAATATATCACTATCCTTGCATGAATGGGGGGGAAAAAAACCCTTCATTCTCAACAATTGTCTTGAGGGAATAGTAATATTGTCGGGTGAGGTATCTTGTTTGGTCACCTATTCACCCCATTCTCTTATAATTATGTGTTTATAGTAAGGCCTCAAACCAAAGATTTCAGTTCTCGCTTGTTTCCAACGGACTCTTTGCATCACCAAAAATTTCAAGGTTAAATAATTTGGGATGACAATTGTTAATTATTTTTAAAGTAATACGTGTATTGTTTTCATTTGATAAGTAACAGATTTTATTATAGAATACCACAGCTAAGGGGATAACTAATAGAGCAACGCTACACGTCACGAAAATCGAATGGAAAAAACCTCCGTTTTAAGGCGTTTGCTATACTACTACTTCAGGCGACTGTCAGTTCCAATCAAATGGAAAACACCGACCAACTAATCCCTAATACCTAGGAGTTCTCAATATTTTTGGTCAACAATAGACTTTGTCGAGATCACGAGTCTAAGAATCTGTTACCTACAAATTAGGTTGGAGAGGAGAAACATAGACTGAACAATCAAAAACCATCATAAGATGGATGAGATGATTCCAGGATGCCCTACAATTTGGAATGATGGTGATCTCACTGATGGTTACTCCACTAAGGTTTCTCTGGCAAACGATGGCCATGTCCACACAGTAATTAGGAACGGTGGTGATTCTATATCTTGAACAGAAGGCTCCCTCTCAAGGAGAAGAAACCTTTCCATGACTGGTAAATCAACCTCTAGGATACCGGTGCAAGCTCAATCGATTCGGGAGGGAGAGGTTGAAGAACCAACATTGCTTGCCCTGGACCATGGTTGAAGAACTGAAGAGAAGAACGGAGGGTAGAATTTTTTGATGAAACAATTAGGACCAGAGGAGACTAACATGTCAATACCATACATAGCCAGGTCATTCGAGTTATAAATCACGAAAAAAAAATCGTAAAGTTCAGCATTTTCCTAACTAATAACTGGTCTACAAATTATTTATTAATATAGTTTATGCGATAATCCTTTCCATGTATAATTTTCTTCTTGTAACACAAGAATATGCAAAAAGGACAGCCAATGGTGACCAATAGCTCAATGGCTCACGGGGAAGGCATGAACCAGGACTTCAAAGCAGTGGTGAGCGAGGGCCGTTTGACCGCCGTCCAACAAATAGACAAACTTGGTATGAATGATATTATGTCCATGGGAAAAAGTTCTGAATTGTATTGGTCCTAACTTAAGAACTATATTCCGAGCAGCCAGTCCAGCAAGGCAAAATTAATATTTATTTTACGATTATTGTATATAAATGGATAATGTCTAGGAATGTAGAATGCTGCTCAATTATATATACCTTAATTTAAGTTTGTCCATATTTTCTTTTATTTGGAAGGGAATGTTGAACACAGGCAAAATATTATATCACACCAACACGGCAACCATGGCGTCACCGTGTTCAATACACAACTCTGGCTTGACATGGCCACCCCTAAACTCCACATCCCAAACAAGTCCAGTAACACATGCCACCAACTCAAAAAACACAACATCAGAGGCACTAGAAGCAACGACAACGAGATAGTAGCCATAGTGGTAGCAAAAAATTGTTATTAAAATTCATACCACACAAACAAGTTGGCGTTTCCCAGGATTATCGATCCCCTGGTTGCTAAATTTTGCTTCTAGAACCACTATCAGTGCAACATTATCCTGTTCCAAAAAATAAATCAAGAAGCAATGAGTCAATGACAAGGAAACATACAGCCCAATTTGGGGAGTAAGCAGAAAAGAAAATCATCAGTTTAAATGCAATTCAGCCACCTTAACCAATCGACTGAGAGCAGTTTTCTTCTGAGCACTAGGAACCAAAGCATCTGTCAGAGACTGCGCAGCTTTATTGAACTCAACCTGTGCAAAAGCATGTATTCATTAAAATTTGGAAAGAATCAGAAAAAAGAAAAACACATTCTGAATTGAGACACTTCCGAACCTCGTATTTTTTTACATGTGAAAATCTGTCTCTACGAAAAAATGTAGCACACCCATCAATTGTATGAACATTTCCACTGAAAACCTGCAAACAATAACACACATCAATAATATAAAGAATTTTAAAAGGTAATAACCATAGGGCGTGAGATCATTAACCAACCTCTGCCGTTTTTCTCTTAAATAGAGCTTGATAACCATGTTTGTCAAGCTCGGGGGCAAAATATTCCTCAAAGTGATCACTTTGAACCTGAAAGCAAAACACCATAACCATGTTAGTCATTGTCTAAAGGCACGTTTGACCTTCTAAATTACTCCTAAGATTCGAATTTCCTGGGCTGAAATTTCATTTTCTCAAGATTCAAGGTCCAACATTAAATTTCTATCATGTATTCACATATTTAGTAACTTCAAATCACTACGGATAGAGGTAGCAAATCCAGATGACATCAGTTAAGTTATGGTGGTACCTTAAATGTGAGGACAACACAGCACACTACAGAGAGTAGAATTAAAAGCAAGATATAATAATAACTTCAGAATGATTAGGAAAAGGAAACTGTCCTACATACATGTAATGATTTCCAATGGATCAACAAAAGGTAATTTGTCATATCAATAGATAGAAATAGGAAATTTTCCCTTATTATTCATTGGTTCCGTCTCTGTCACACGAAGTAAAGAAAGACGAATCCAAATTCTCAGACATGCAAATTATGACTATATGTTCACAATTAGTAGGAGCTAAATATCTAGAAATCCATAAGGCCTGCTACCTACCAATCTTGAACTGTTTGCTGTTAGTGAGAACTAAAAAAATGACAATCATGCATAAACACATTTGGCAAGGCATCTTTCAAGAATAGTTTTTATACTTTTACTTCTGGTAAGCAGTCATTTTCAAAATAATAATAATTATTATAATAAAAAAAATAGAAGAATTGTTCTTAATTTTATAAAAGGAATATTACTTGATAACTATTGTTACCCAGAAATGAATTTTTATTGCTTTCATTTTTTTAATGGAAAATATGTATATATTTGAACCCAAAGGGATGCAACCACACCTACATACACTATATATTATTCACCAAGGACTGTATTAACATAAGTGGGAAATTCAGGTTTCAAGTCCCCGCAGGGGCATTCCTTCAACTTCCACAGAGTATTTAGTCCTCTGTAAAAGATAATTTAGTTCTTTACCCCGGTCAATTTTAAAACTTAGCGAAAATACAGTAATTCAGGTCATTTTTACAAATTATAAATGGCGCTCATGTACCTCTTGGAGACAAACAATGTCTGCACGATAGCCAACTATTTCTCGCAATAAATTCTGCCTGCGATAAGGCCAAGAAAGAGCCCAGGAAGGGCAATAAGTGTATAATTCACTGCTTGCATAGACATCAGCTAAGATGTTGTATGAGAGCACAGAAAAAGTTCCAGCAGATAACATGCGGCCATCTGAATCTAAATGCCCCAGCACATCAACTCCACTAACTGAGATCAAACGACGTGGACTAGGGGATGGGGCCGGAATAACACGGGATGTTAATATGGTGTTGACATGTCCAACAGTTAGTTTTGTTTCAGCATCTACCACAACACATTCAAACTTAAGGACATGACCAATATCATCGGCTGTTGGTGTGTATGTCTTGGAGCGTCCTACTTCAAACCAAGTTTCACCACCATTCCTTTGGGCAACTACCGCAGGATATAAAGAAGCTGCACCATTGGCCAAGTTAGGGTTTGGTTGCAAAGCAGGCAAGTTTGCGTTCACAACCCCAGATCCTGTGCTATTGAAGCGCCCAAATAATTCTTCCTCCTCAGTTCCATTTTCATTTACAGCACTGGCAGCACGCTCATGTAGAACACGATGATGCTGCCATGCATCCGAAAAACATTTAGGAGAGCAATGGTAACTTTTAGCAACAGGAATTTTGGCCTTAACACATCCAAGGCACTGCAATGTGGCTTGCTCTGATGGATGTACACTACAGATGGCGACTTTTTTATCACTTTGTATACGATACCTGCAAAGCAAAACCAAGACGCAGAAAATATGTATCAGGCGCCAAATACTAAAAGACCAAATCCATGCTTCAAACCATTAGGTAACAGAGATACATAAGCAACATAATCAGAAACCCAATGATTGCATATCTTGTAGACATATGGAGGAAGTTTGAAGGAACACTCTTAACACTAATTTATGACACCAATACAGCATCAATGTGTACAGCATACCCTAAAGCAAAGGGCAAAATCCATTTTCTAACTACAGACATTAAAACAAATATAGATATGCCCCTTTTTATGAAACGGCCGGCCCAAACTTTTAACACTATCTAAGAACCAAGAACCAGAGATTGTCATGTAACATGGTCCAATGCTTCTTTCCCAGATTTTAGCTGATTTGAATCACAAACAGCTATGCCCGCATTCCCTGTAGTTAAGCAAATTTGTGTCCAAGAAGACGAAGAAGAATCAATCTCACTAATAAGATGCCTTCTCAATGTCACAACCCACATATATATAAGCATCAACAAAGCACCCTAATCAAACTCTACTACCAAAAAAAAAATATAATAATAATAATAAATTTCTAAAATACACTAGGATTAAAACATTAACATAATAATAAAAATATAAATGGACAAAAGTCCTTAAATCTATTTATATTTTCCCCGTCTCCAATAGTAGGTGCGAATCATATGCACTTCAAGCTCTCAGGGTATGTCTCATTCTCCATCACCACGTTGTCACTCTCTCTAAAAAAGATGCATGCAGCAGGCACTACTATTTATCTATATCTCTGATCTTCCATTAAATTTAACTCATTAAATTCTCATTTAACTTCCTTGGTTCTTGCACATGTTCAAAATGGCATTCATTCATCTTCAACATATAAACTAATAGTAAAATACCTCCACTATTTTCCATACTAAAAACACGTGCAAAAAGTAATCAGCGTAACCAATTTGAGTAACTCAATTAAGATATATATATGTATTTTTTTGGGCTTCACTCCCCTTTTGAGCACTTCTATACGATTGTATAGAAGACAAAGCCATTATTTTTGGATGTAAAACTTCATTGTAGATAACGAACCACTATAAAACCTGTTACAGTGACTTGCAACAGTTCCTGCCTACAAAAGGGCTCTGCACATTGTCAGTTGCTAAAGTGACCAACAGATAAAAATTTTCTCCATCAGCAAGTTTAACTCCATTGATCAATATATGGAGCGAACAATAAAAGAAGCCCCGACAATTTTTTATTTGGAATCAGGTTCACATATGTTTGGACCTATTCTGAACGAAACCTATAGGCTCTATATGTAAACCTTGCAAACACTATCACAATCACCAACCAATCCCTTGTTGAAACCTTAAAAGTACTGCAATATTCAATCAGCTGATTATGAGAATAAAAAAGATATAGCTTATACCTGACACTAGAAAATGTATCTTACACATGACATGACAATGACCAATTATACAAAGCTTCTATCACGGCACTCTAAAACAAACAGATCTTCAGCTGTTCAATGAATATAAATTCTGTGAGAATTTTAATAATTGGAAAACTGTACCAAGGGTTATTGCCTGGGGGTACTTTCTCAACTTCTAAATAGAAAGTCAAGGGTTCAAGCCCCATGTAAAGCTAATGGGAGTGAGACTCAAACAGTGGGAAGGGGAATAATTCTGTGTATGAGGGAGCAGGAAAGTGAGAACCAATATATGACCGCTAAATAACAGAGGTAAGGGAAGCACCATAATACATAAAAGTAGCCACAAACTCAAAAAGCATCCATTTGAAAATGGAATCAGCAAAAATAGTCACACATTTAACCCGTCTACAGATTACCCAATTTAATCAAAAAAAAAAATCATTGGGTGTTACCTAAGTTAACCACATATCTGTTCCAAAATTAAAGATGTTCAAATTTTAGTTTTCAGTAAATCAATAGTTCTCCTCATAACTCTTTTACTCTATCATTAAGTGCACCTTTTTTTTTATATACAAGTCTATCATTAAGTGCACCTGAAAACATTTTATGGTAGTCAGTACGACTCTTCGACTCCTTAATAGGTCTCGTAGGTTCTCACTAGATCCAAATATGATTTCATCTTCCTAGCTAACAAAACCAAATGATTAACCGACAAACCAAAACAATTAACAAGCAATATATCTCACCTATATTTTCCATACTGAATGCACAACAAAATCAATAAAATCTAACCAGCGAAATCAATTTAATTTAAGTATATGGTTTCCCATCCTAATTACAACTTCAATATGAAGCACTCACTTTTAAACATCAAACATCCCTCAAAAAGTAAATTCGCAGATAGTTATAGCCCTTCTCACCTATACAATAAACACACACTTAAGTACCTAATATTTACCATCCTTTTTCCCATGAACAAGTTGGACCGCATTAGCTGCTTATGCTCAATGACCAATAAAAATTGCTTTGCAACTTCCCTGAGAATCAGGTTTGCTAATACCTAAGCCCACCACAATCCAAACCCACTAATACCCTCTTTCAAACCCGTCAATGCCCTCGCATCCAGGCTCCAGTAACCAATTCCACATAAAAAATAAAAAAATGTGAAGAAATTTGACACAGAAGTCTAAGCAAAAAGAGCATCAAAATTGTTTATTCTCTCAATCACAATGATAACAGGGAAGACTGATGAAAGAAGATACAATGGAAAAAAGAAAAAGAAAAACAAATCCCTGATGTCTTAGAAACTTGGCTGTTTTTCTTCCTATCTTAGAAATACTAAAGATTCTTTTATATTCACCCAATATATTACAACTCAAGACACAGACTATGATGTTCCATAATCTATCATCCTATATAGATTATACACATCTCACACCTTTTTTTTTCTTTTTTTTCTTTTTTTGATAAGTAAAATGTATTAAAAGGCGTTCAAAAGGGGAACGCATCCCAAGCTATACAAAAATTATACACATCTCACACCTAACAAAGTCACTCTAGAAAGTGAAGATAAAGAAACCATAAGTTGTCCAAAGTATACAAATAAAACAATACCAACTATACTTGGAAAACTAGCCTGGTGATGTAGCAGTATTTATTCATAAACATACAAGATATACTGATGTATAAAGGTAAGTTATAATGACATGCAAAACAGATAATTATGTTCACACTGACACTAAATTTAGCAATTAGGACTGCAATGAAGATGCTTACACAACTAAAATATATTGAAATGGTAAAAAGTATTACATCCGAATACCAATCTAAATTAAGATGCATTCTTTGAAATAAGGTCTCCTACTCCCCTTGTTAGATGCAATATTTAAGCCAACAAATTATACAGGAAAAAGGGGGGAGAGATTAAAGAGTAAGTAACTTGAAAAAAAGCACAAGTATTGTAGATAATCAGAGGCTTTCTTAAGTTGAGTTGAGTGGAGTTGAGTTGTGATGTTCAGAACAGTTGCTGTCAATAACATTTAGATATTTGCAGCATCTCCAATGATATTGCCATTTCACAATGTCTCAGCTACCTCATGGCAAGCTACCTCATGGCAAACAAATCGAGAAAACTAATATGAAAGAGAGAACAACGCTCACACACATTTGTATTCGCATAATAAGTCAGTCATTTAGAATCCCTCTGTTCCCAAAGTCCCTAATCCAATCTAGTGATTTCCTTTCAATCACAAAGACGGGCGTGACGTTCCACATCGCCTTGGGGGAGAGGTTTGATGACACTTATATATAAGTGGACATCCATTAAATGTGTTCAAGTGTTTTGAAGAAAACCATGAGCACCGAGAGGAGACTCTGCAAAACAGACAATATCTGCACAAGTTGGGGCAGGTGATGACAGATGGTATCAGAGCCAAAACTGGAAGGAGCATGCACAAGTCATGAGGGTCATGCCAGCGAGGATGTTGGGTCCCAAGAAGGGGTGATAGTGACATCAACAGGGAGAGAGGTTCAAGGGCGGATTTAGGGGTGGGCTCTGGTGTGCTTGAGTGCACCCAAAAAAAAAAAAATTACTATAGGAATTTTAGCCCAGGCTAAAAAAAAAAGAAGAAGAATTACTAGTATTAGCCCACCCAAAGAAATATTAGCTCACCCCATTGACAATTTCTGAATTCGCCCTTGGAGAGGTTTGATGACACTTTTATGTGTGGACACCCGTTAACTGTACAGAAGCCTGAAACAGGGACAATATCTACACCGGTTGGAGTGGGTCATGACAAAGGCCTTTCTTCAGTTCACAATTTTCAAACAAATTTTGTACTCATTTTTTAATCTCAATTAATTAATCATAAACATATACCAGGGCCTCCACCTAGGTCTCATCCTTTGCCATGATTCAGTATATGAAACCCTCCCTGATTAGATTTCAGTCAATGAGGAAATATTCCAATTTCATTGAAATTACATTAGGATTTAACTTTAAAAAGTTTTGATTGAATTAGAATCCACATGTCGTCAAAACCCTAAACTATTGTCCTCTAAAGAGAAAAAAAATAAAAATAATAATAATAACAAGAACAATATTTGAGTAGCACTGGTGATAGTAGGAGTACTAACCACTTGTATCTCAAGAAATGACCGTCGATGGGAGCGGATTCGGGGACATCCTCGGTGGTAGCGGATTTGTCGGGACGCCTCAATAGCACGTACGGCGAGAGCTCGCAGCCTACAATCGGAATATCAGACGGAAGGTGCACTCGAAGCACGCTCAGCATAATTTTCACTCTCTTACTTCCCACTCAACAACACAATTATCAAACCCTAACCCTACAAGTGATCCTACAAATGGTCCAATTCTTACAAGTTCGATGAAACCCAAATCAAGCAACACGCGTTGGCGGACACCTGGCGAATCCGCCATCACCTGATCTCGAAACCCGCCAGCCTTGCCCAATCTCACAAAAGCCCTAACAAAATCAAAAATCAAGAAATGCTAATAACGAGCACGAAGGATCTTTAGGGGAAAAGAAAAAGAACAAAAGAAAGCTACAAGAATTAAGATAGAGAAAATGGACGGATTCCAATGTCAATCGTAGAGATTGCGGAGCATCAATCGATGAAAACGACAAAAATCGGAAAGTCCAGAGAGAGATTAGTTTCGGAGAAATGAAGGTTTGATGTTAGAAAGAGAGAGAGACAGGGTAAGAGGAGATCGATTTTGTGTTAGGGTTTTACGCGAAAGAAATCGAGAGTCGTTCGTATTGCGCTGTTTGGGGATGCAAATTGAGACATGTGTGTGTGACTGTGCATATCTTGCAACTATATACTCGTTTTTGTCTAGATGGTATAAAATATAAAGTCGTACTTGTTATATTTACATACTGTGACTATTGGCCAATGACAAATAGGGGCGATCAACTTTTTCTTGTGACGGATTTGGTGGAAAGAAAACAAACAAACAAACAAACGGTTTATATAAAGTCCTCAGATTCTATGTGAACCAAAACAGTTTATAAAGCCATTGGGGAGGGGAAAAATAAATAATGAAAAGATTTGTTAACCATTAAGATTTTCTTTTTCTTTTTTTTGTTTTTTTTTTCATAAGTAGCTATTAAGAAGTTATAGAGAAGGAAAAAATAAATAAATAAATTACATGAAATAGATGAACCAAAAATAGCTATTGATAATCGGGATTACATAAATTGGGGTATTTTAGTCGTGATTTTGGGTCTGAACTCTCAACATTGGCCAAGGTTTGGAGACCGACAGATAAATAAAAAAATAATAAAAAAGAAGGTAAAAATTCCAACGGTATAGAGTGTGGATTTTGTTATTTGTCCTTTTCCACTTGTGCAGTAAAAATTAAAAATTATATTGGCGCTCTTCAATATACTCTCACATTCTATTTAGATATCCTAAGTTCCTAACTACATTATCCAAACATTTATGATTTGTTTGGCATAAAGGAAATAAGAGGGGTCAAAGGGAAAATAATAATGAATAAATAAATTTCATTGGTTTGGTAGATAAAAGATAACCCATAAAAAAGAAAATATGATGAATGAGTCATCATTCATACACCAAGAGCCTTTTGGTCATGTGGTATCTCATCTACCTCCCAAAGTTGTTAGTGAGAGTTTAAATCTATAAATGAGCAAAGCGGGTGTGTGATTGATGTGTGAGAGTTTCTTGTCAATGACAAAAAATAAATAAATAAAATAAATTTTTTTTAAAAAAAATGGTTTATCATTCATGGTTACAAACTTACACCTCTCCAAATATGGAGGAAGAGAAGCAAAACTGTTATATTGGGTGAAAGAATCAGCAAGCTTGCATTCGTTTACCAAGCTAAACTGGACCCGAAAACGTCCAGGTCGAAATTGGTCAGCCTTGTTATCATAACTTACTCATTTTTTATCCAAATTGAGTGATTTTTTAGTCCATTCTCATGAGCTTGAAGTTAGCTTTCCAATGGTACAAAACACACACATAAAAACTCCAACCATAGTGAGATTTATAACAGTTTTAGTGAGATAGGGTCGTGATATCTCTTAATCAGAGGACGCCGTTTTGTCCCATCTTCATATCTTTTCCGTTCGAATTCCGAATTAGGCGATTTTTGAGTTTAAATTCGTTCATTTTTCGTTGTATTTTCCAATCGTATGCTTGATAGCATCTATTTCTGTTTAAAATAACCACTTTACCCTTGGTCCATTTCTTGTAGGGTTTCGAAACCCTTGTTTCCTTCTTACTTCCGTTGAGTATCGGGACTCATCGGGAAACCACTTTTGTGTCTTAGGGATGATGTATATCTTTAGAGGCCTTGTTCTTTCTCTTTCACTTCGACATTTCGAATCCGTTTTCAGGTCAACTTTCGGGTCATCACAGGACGCATCGGGTTTGTAAAACCAGGGCTATCACAGGTAGTATCAGGCTTTCGACAATGTATTATGGGGCGTGGTATCCTCACTTGTTCTATTGGATCCCTAGTTGTGGTGGCATTTAGTCCAATGTCTTATGTCGTAAGATATGATGAAAAAAAATAATAATAAAAAATTTTTAAAAAAAAAAGAAGAAGAAGAAAAGAAAAGTCCTAAATATTATATTAAAAGAAAATATTCATCCCTCACGTGGAAATTTGCTTAGTTGGAAAAGCCATGCTCATAATACGATTAATCCGACATGGGCTACATGAACCCCTAATAGTTTATCGGCACCTCCGGGCACTTGATGAATTGTAATAACTGGGAACCAACCTTTTCCTGCGGAGCTTTGTATATTCTAGGCACATTCTGCAGATAATTACAATAGTACCGTTCACAATTATTAGATAAACTTAATATTAACAATCTATATCCTCCCTTCTTTCTTTGTTTTTTCCCGATAAATTATCTACTCCCTCCTTCTCTTTCACTTCGACATTTCGAATCCGTTTTCAGGTCAACTTTCGGGTCATCACAGGACGCATCGGGTTTGTAAAACCAGGGCTATCACAGGTAGTATCAGGCTTTCGACAATGTATTATGGGGCGTGGTATCCTCACTTGTTCTATTGGATCCCTAGTTGTGGTGGCATTTAGTCCAATGTCTTATGTCGTAAGATATGATGAAAAAAAATAATAATAAAAAATTTTTAAAAAAAAAAGAAGAAGAAGAAAAGAAAAGTCCTAAATATTATATTAAAAGAAAATATTCATCCCTCACGTGGAAATTTGCTTAGTTGGAAAAGCCATGCTCATAATACGATTAATCCGACATGGGCTACATGAACCCCTAATAGTTTATCGGCACCTCCGGGCACTTGATGAATTGTAATAACTGGGAACCAACCTTTTCCTGCGGAGCTTTGTATATTCTAGGCACATTCTGCAGATAATTACAATAGTACCGTTCACAATTATTAGATAAACTTAATATTAACAATCTATATCCTCCCTTCTTTCTTTTTTTTTCCCGATAAATTATCTACTCCCTCCTTTCTTAACAAAGAAAATAAGTTATTACCTTTTTCCCTTCTTCCATCCATCCAAATAGAAATAAGGAATGATATTATCTTTTTTATAGGGATGTCTTATCCATCTCTTATTTTTTTCCTTTAGGTCTAATTTTCTTCATTCTTATCAAACGGAGCATTTAAAAAAATTAATTAAAAATAGATAAAACTTAATAATTAAACTAACATAAATACCAAAAAGTATAAGAAGCTAAATTCGTTTATACTTCCCAAAAATATTTCAGAACGGTAGAGGAAGAAATATGCCCTTAAAAGGGCCTAAATCATGGCTTGTGTTGTGAATATAAAAAAGGATATGAAAAGAGATAAGGGAGAGAGCTGTATTTATTCACAAGCTGAAAGATCCATCAAGGATACATATATTTAGTTACAAGTCACCGCCTATAACCGCCTAATGCATCAAGGATACATATATTTAGTTACAAGTCACCGCCTATAACCGCCTAATGCACCAATCAAATGTATTGCATATGCATTATTAAACCAATGGCATGTACACACATCAATGAACTAATAGCATGTACACACATCAATGGCCAACACAATTCTTCCATGTCGGCTATCACTGCCTCACTTATCTTTACGTCTCCAACTTGCATTTACTCTTTTGAAATGAAATGGAACCCATTTTTATAACACTCTTCCTTGGGATCCACTATGCAACAGTAAGAATATGTCTCGTTAAAACCTTACTAAGAAAAACTTAGCGGGATAAAAATTTAACAAAAAAAAGAGAGTATAATATTCTTGTGTGTCAGAAAAGAGTATTGCATAGGTTAGAACTGCCTCATTAAGAAAACCCATTGGGACAAAACCTCAATGAAGGAAAAAGAGTACAGTATATGTCAATATTTTTTCAATTAAGTACTCCCCCTTGTCAATGCCAAAGATCTTTAAGTTGTTGCATTATAATGTTGTATACCAATTTCTTGAATGTCATGGTTGGCAGTGCCTTAGTGAACAGGTCCGCTAAATTTTCACATGAACGTATTTGCTGAATATCAATTTTACCATTATTTTGGCGTTCATGTGTGTAATGGAATTTTGGTGAGATGTGTTTGATCCTGTCACTTTTGATATAACATTCTTTCATCTGTGCAATGCATGCAACATTATCTTCATATAATATTGTGGGGTTATTTATTATTGATGAGAAGCCTCATGTTGTTCTAATGCGTTGGATTATGGATCGCAACCAAATGCATTCCCTGCTTGCCTCATGAATTGCAAGTATCTCAGAATGATTTGAAGAAGTGAAAATCATTATCTATTTCATAGAGCGCCATGAGATAGCCGTGACACCATAAGTAAACACATACCATATTTGTGATCGAGCTTGATGTGGATCAAAGAGATAACCAACATCTACATATCTAATTAATTGGGATTTTGATTCCTTTGAATAAAATAATCCCATATCAATTGTTCCACAAAGATATCGCAATATGTGTTTGACTCCATTCCAATGTCTACAGGTTGGTGTAGAACTGTATCTTACTAATAAGTTGATTGAAAAAGCAATGTCAAGTCGTGTGCAATTTGTAAGATACATAAGAGCACTAATTACACTAAGATATGGTACTCCGGGACCAAGAAGTTTATCATCATCTTCTGGAGGTCGAAAATGATCTTTCTTAACATTAAGTGATTAGACAACCATTGGTGAGCTCGGCTTTATCCATATAAAAAACACTTTAGAACCTTCTCTGTATATGTCGACCGGTGGATATGGATTCCTCTTGATAAATGTCCAATTTGCAATCCAGACAAAAAAATTTCTTTCCAAAATCTTTTATCTCGAATTATTTCTTTAAATAAATGGTAGTCTTTAGGAGTTCTTTAGAGGTTCTCACCAGATTCAAATTATCAACATATACTACACTAATAGCAAAATCAAATTATGTTTTGCTAATAAAAATGCATGGACAAAGATGACTATTCACATACCCTTCTTTTATTAAGTACTCACTGAGGCGATTGTACCACATGCGCCCAGATTGCTTCAATCCATACAAGGATTGTTGTAATTTTATTGAGTACATACTACGTGGTTTTGTTTGTAGCATTTTGAAACCATCAGGAATCTTCATGTAAATATCATTATCTAGTGATCCACATAAGTATGTCGTTATCACGTCCATTAAATGCATATGCCATCTTTCTATGACTGCAAAATGTATTATGAATCTAAAAGTGTTTGCATCCATTACCGGAGAATATGTTTTATCATAATCAATACCAGGTCTCTATGAGAAACCTTGAGCTACCAGTTGGGCTTTGTATCTCACAATTTTATTTTTCTCATTACATTTGCGTACAAATACCCATT